AAGTATTGGTATTAGGCCATGCTAGTGTCGGTAATATTAAATGGGTCCAGGATTTTTGTTTGCAATTGGCATATTTTGTCATTACTAGATACCATATCTAGTACACTTTCCATATCAGTGGCTTCATGTATTGGGGTTGTACCCAGACACCAGGAAGGAAACCGAACAAAAGTTACATAATTCCAGGGGAAGGTTTAAACTACTTGAGACATTTTTATGAAAACATATGGAATCTTTTCATTGGCAAGTGCCTTAGACCCTCATTCAAAAAGCTCACTAACCTACAGAAGTAAGAAAAGGTTTATTAATAGCTCAGGTTGATCAACTCTGTGTGCTAGGTACTTTCTCAATATGAAACATAGCTTACATATCTTTAAAAAAATTTAAAGAGTACTAAATTATATTCCTATCCATTTGATGGATGAGAAAACTGAGGCCACCCACCCTGACATTTTCCTACAGGGGTCAGTCTCCTAACTGTCATACCACATTGCCCTTCTAAATAGCAGGAAAAAGGGCTCCTAGTCACAGACCTACTGTGAGTCTGACAGAGCTGTCAAAGAAACTGTAAAAAGCAGAGATAATGGGAAAAAGCTCAGAAACTTATAGTAGTTTGGGAAGCAAAAGTAGGTCAATTTGTTTATCTGCTTCTTTGTTAACTAATGTATCTGTTTCTGTAGCATGCACCATGTACCAGGCACTAATGTCCTTGCTTTAGGAGTCTTCACTCATTCTATTCTCTGAACAACTGTATGAGGTAGAGAGTGTAATTTTACTCATTTTATACATAAGGAAATTGAAGCCCAGAGAGGTCCAGTAACTGTCTTAGTTGACACAACTAGTAAGTACTGGAGCCAGGATTTATAGCTGGGCAGACCTGCCCTGGCAGCCAGGCTCTTGAGCACAGTGCTGTGCTGGTGTCACAAGTATTTCCTTTTTGGGGGCAGGTTGGGGGAGGTGAGGCCTACCTCTGTCACCCAAGCTGGAGTGCAGAGGTGCAATCTTAGTTCACTGCAGCCTCAAACTCCTAGACTCAAGTGATCCTCCAGCCTTAGCCTCCCAAGGAACTGGACTTGCCACCACACCTGGCTGACTGAGTGCTTTCTTAATCTACCCACTGCATTATAAAAATGAGGTTCATGTATTCATTTAGCAATACTATTATTGCTATATACTAATTTTAATATTGCTCGAAAGCAGTATTGAATGTGCAGGGTTGACGAGTTTCAAGTAAAGATTAAACTTATTTTGGTATTTTAGGTCGAATTTCTCCTGTACATTTTAGAAGGATTCTCATTCAAAACAGTTATTTTTGCTATTTTTTTGTTGCTTATAGGATCAAACTCCAACTGTTTGAAAAACCCAGCATTAATACTTTCAGATTTTGTAAGGATACATGATTTGGGTTTTCACTATATTTGAGGTTAAGATAGCAATTATGATGAGATGAGCCACCATGTTTACTTTCCAAACAGATGAGAGTGCCAAGGGGAGAAAATGGCTATATATTTGTATCAAAATTATGTAAATATAATTTATTTCTAGAACAAGTCATTCCCTATAAGTCTCTTATATAATACCCTCTATCTTCAAGGGAAATAAAATATTCAGCAGAAAGGAAGTTCTTTGAGAGTGACTATAAGTACAAAGAAACCTATAATGGGCATTTGATGTTTCTTGTGTCTAAATTGTCACAATTTCCTGTTATTTCCTGTTGGTACTTTTGATGAGCAGACTAGCTGCTCCATGTTAACATTAGTTTTAGAAAAAAGACCTAAATAAAGTAGAAAACCAAACTCCTACCACTATCAGTCATTCAACGGGATGGTTTTCTCTAAAGGATACAATGCTTTCACTTGTTTTTGAAGGAAAGACATAGCTGAGACCACAGAAATCCCTTAACCTGCTTGTGGGCTCTGCTAATGTCTGGTGATGTCTTTGAAGTGCTAGTGTTTTCCAGGCTCTCTTTATCCACTTAAAGTTAGATAGTGTACAGCAGGATCCCAGTTAGCAGAAATCAGTAAAGAGTAAAACACGATATTACCCAGGTAATATTTTATTTAAATAGTACAGTGTGATAAAGTACACGAAAACAGAGTTGCTACATCTCATAAAAGAAACCTGAGATTTAAGAATTAGTTTAAAATATGTGTTAAGAAGCTGCACAGAGTGATGAGTGGCTGTGTTCAAAATGAGAACTGCTTCCTCATTTTTTAAAAGATTTTATTTTAAACCTAAATATAATATATGGCTTCCTTCCACAGCTCTGGGGTGGATTCAGCAGTATATTTTCCAGATCAGCACATCAACTTCAGATCTGTGACACCGGCCAGGGAGCCTGAATCAATTAATTTGAAAGCCTCGAAGAGCATGGACCTTGGTAAGCAAGGGTGAGGTGACATCCAGGTCAGCTTTCCAGCCTCAGCCCATCTATCTTCCCAAATGTCCTGGTTTTGTTTCTTCAACTCAAACTTCGGGGAACAAGGTCTGCAGAAGCCTGAAGGAAGGGATTAATGGCCATTCCACCTTCCTGTCTCTTCACACATTTAATTGTAATTACCCACCTTGTAAAACAAAGAGGAGTGATTCATTTTTACAAAATGATCTATAAATGATCCTCCCATTATAGATCACAAAAATATGATTTCTTTTGGAGGATCTGGATCCCAAAAGCATCTTTCGCTCCTCTGTCTGCCTTTGCGTCTGCACTCTCGCTTCAGCCAGTGCATTTCCACTCTGTGTGGGCATACCTGTTGCAAAGCCTGGGACGATCATGTGGTCCAAAGCACCCTTTGCCTTGGGCCTTCACACCCTTCTATTCTTCTCCATGTGAGATGGATAGGGATGGCAGCAATGCAGAAGATTCAGCTTTTTAAATGCCTATCCTCAAATCCTGTGACACTGGAGGGACAAAGGATCTCTTGGGCTTGTGGGCTTGCCACACTGAGGGTGTCAAGGTACCCTGGGTCCATGTCTGAACAACCTCTCTGAGGTTCTGAGCACCACAGGGAACTTCTAGGTGACTGGTGGGTGCCAGGGCAGAGCGAGAGCCCCTGTCAGCTGTGTTCTACAAGCCTTGGGACATATCAGATACCCCGGAGTATCACTGCCTTCTCATGGGCTGTTAGAGAGAACCCTGTTAGAGAAAAGTACGGGTACAAAATACATTCTCAGCAAAATATCTATTGCCTCATGAATGCTTGCAGGCCAAGCTTTGCAGTTGTTTTTTCTCGAGGCATATTATATATTTCATCAGTAACAATGAGAAAATAGAATAATCAAAAGTTCGTGCTCCACCAAACAATCTAATAAATAGTGCTTATCTGTTACTTATTTACAGGAGTTCAGGAAAATGCTCAATCGTGATGAAACAAGAGAAGTTGATTCTGTTTTGTATAAATTAGCTAAATCACTGAGATGCATTTGCTGTAATCGCCTATAGTGAGAGACAGATAGAAACCTTAACTAGGAAGCTGTTTTGAACACTGGTCAGAAAGGGTATTTTCTCAAGCGTGAAACTTTTGACAAACTAAAGGAATAATTTGTGAACAGCGACACAGGTTATTACTAATAATTTAAGGAGCAGTTCATTTTTATAGAGTGTCGGATAAACATTTCCTGTTCTGTCTTCCCAATTTCTCTGCAAAGAAGGTGAATGGATCAACACTGCTCTTATTTTTAAGGAGAGAAATACATTACTGTTTTATCATTTAATTAACACAGACACTATTATGGTTCTAAAAAGGAAAAAAAAGCACCCATTTTAAGTTAAGACAGAACAAATATTATGAAATCTGTAAATGATATAGCCTAAGACATGTCCAGAATCAGTATTTTTGCTTACATTTTATTTTATTTTAATTTTAGATGTAATCTCACTCTGTCACCCAGGATGGAGTGCAGTGGTGTGATCTTGGCTCACTGCAACCTACACCTCCTGGGTTCAAGCAATTCTCTTGCCTCAGCTGCTGGAGTAGCTGGGATTGCAAAGCATCTGTCACTAAGCCCGCCTATTTTTTTTTTTTTTTTGTATTTTTAGTAGAGACAGGGTTTCACCGTGTTGGCCAGGCTGGTCTCAAATTCCTGATCTCAACTGATCTGCCTGCCTTGGCTTCCCAAAGTGCTAGGATTATAGGTGTGAGCCACTGTGCCGAGCTGTTTTGTTTATATTTATTACCAAAAACTGTTTTTGAGTTTTCTCTTCTAAACTGAGATACTCTTTGCAAGATACACGAAGTAGCGGTCATTCTTTGCATTTTTTATACATATGCCATAAATGACAAAAATAACAGTAAGTTTTGTTCATTTTACAGTATTGGTCAGGTTATGAGCTATTTTCTTCAGGACCCTAGTATCAAACTAAAAGCATTGGCTAAAATGCACCATACAGTGGAAATAATAACTTGCTGTTAAAACAAGTTTCGAGTAATTATCAAAGTTTGGTCCTTTGCAGGAAGTAGCAGGCTAAAGCCAGCAGTCTTGCAGAAGGCCCTGAGCGTCAGCATTCTAGGACCATTCTGATCCCTTCTTCCCGGAACAATCAGGGAGCCTAACAAATGTGTTAACTTTCTTAATGTGAAATTCACCTAGGTAATACCCCAATGGTAAACGTTTGAAAGTGTCTTTTCTGTTTAATTAGGAAAATAGACTATATCTATAGTTTCATCTCACTATATATAAATACATAGCACTAGACCAGTGCAAAAAATTAATTTATTTGCTCAAAAGGTAGGTGACTATGTTTATAGGAATAATACTAGCAAGATCTTGATTCTTTAAAATGTTTTAACCTTCTTTAAAACGTTTTAACAAGTATCCTGTTTAGGTTGAATACCAAGTTTGTGCTATCTATTTTTGACCTGGGAAACTAGAGTTTTCATATGGTTCAAAATAAAAGAGATAGAACCTTCTATTTGTTGCATAATTAATTTAGGTTGGCCATTTCTCACTTTATAAAGTCTGTAGGAACCTTCAAAGGCTGATGGGCCCTATCAGCACCTTTGTTTTTGTTTCATATTTGCTACTGAGGCCAAGCTGGTATTTTAACTTGCATGTTAATGAGTCATTGTTCATCTACTCAAGCTATTTTAAAGCAGCTTCCATTTACTTATGTTCACTTATGTTTTCAAAGACAGACAATTCCAATTAAGAAAAATGAAGCCTTCTCATTCTCATCTATTTTACCTATTCACCAGACACATAGTTTAAAATGTAAATCCTCCGCTGGGCACAGTGTCTCGTGCCTGTAATCACAGCTCTTTGGGATTCTGAGGTGGGTGGATCACAAAGTCAGGAGTTCAAGACCATCCTGGCTAACATGGTGAAACCCTGTCTCTACTAAAAATACGAAAAATTAGCTGGGCATGGTGGCACGCACCTTTAGTCCCGTCTACTTGGGAGGCTGAGGCAGGAGAATCACTTGAACCTCGGGAAGCAAGGTTGCAGTGAGCTAAGATCACACTACTGTTCTGCAGCCTGGGAAATAGAGGGAGACTCTGTCTCAAAAAAAAAAAAAAATTATCCTGGAAAGCATAGTTGCTCCCGCATCTATGTATCTATATCACATATGGTTTCTTTATACTAGTTGCATTGTGTTACATTCATTCATCTTCATTTATAGTTTTACTTTTCTCTTCCCCTTCTGATGGAGTGTGGACTTAATATACAGTTCTTTTGTGGTGGTTTGGTGGGTTTTTGAGTCCTTTGTGTTTGAGATTTTGCAATTTGTTTATTTATAGCCTTTGCCAATGTTATTTGTTAATTTTTTCCACTTTGATTTATAAAATATTGTTACATGGGATGCAAGGGTTTTTTTGCAACCCATTATTTGTCTTTTTAGATTGTGATATTTCTTATCATAAAAAATGTTTCAGCCTTGTCAAATGTTTTCATCATTTCTTTTGTTATATTTGAGTTATATGTTTATCTCATTTATTTTCTTCTGGTACTTTTAGAGGCTTTTAAAAAGAAAGTATTTAGCAATCTATCATGTATTTTTATCCATGGAGTATGACATGGAAGAATTTTCTCACATAAATAGGCAAATTATTAGTAACATTTATTGACTTCTCCATTCTTTCCCTATTAATTTGAAATTCAGTCAAATTGAATACTAAATTCCCATACAAACATAAATGAGTGGGTTTCTAGACATGCTATTATGTTGATATATTAGTCCATCCCATGTCAACATCACCCTGTTTAAATTATCATGCTATTAATTTGTATTTTGATAACTTACAGGATAATCTTTCTCCAATTTTTCTTCCTTTGTAAAATTACTTTTGCTCTTCATATGAACTCATTCTCCTGCATGAACTGTAGAATCAACTACTGAAAATGAGTTTAAAGATGAAAAAGGAATGCTTCCACTGTGGGGTATGTGTGTGTATGTGTGAGAGAGAAAGAGAGAGAGAGAGACAGAGACAGAGAGGACAGAGAGAGACAGAGAGAAAAGAGCACACATTAATTATAATATTTGCTGTTGGTTCCTGATGGAAACATTTTATAAAGCTACTTAAGTTTCTTTGTATTACTGACTTCCTAAAAGTTTTTTTGATTAGTTCATTTATTTTTTTAAATGAGGAATGGATGTTTAATTTTATTAAGTGATTTTAAGGACTTTACTGGCTGCTAATGTGGATTTTGTTCTTTATTCTATTAATGAAACAAAAGTGAGTTAATTGATAGATTGCCCAATATTAAATATTGGATTCTTTTTCAATGACTCTAAATTTTTCTCTTTACTTGAAAAAGTGCTTATTGATTAACCACAGATATGTATAGTAAACACTTCTCGAGATGGGTAACACGTTATATGCTCTAAAATGTAGGTGTACAACTCTGATTACAATTTTATTCAATATCATTAATTCCTATATATACATTATAGTAATTAATTGGCTATATGTACACATTATAGATATAATGTTCATCTATACATTATAGATATAATGTATATACAGATATAGATATATATAGATATAATGTAGATATAGCCCTTTTGAGGATGCTTTGCCTAGGGATTTTGTGAATACTTTTACTGGCATGCGTGTGGTCACATTTAAGTCAGCTCAGAAATGATTAAAATAGTGAATAAAAGGAAATTTGTTTTTAAATAACTGCATGTAGCCATGCTAATTCAAAGAGGTTAGGGTGTCACTTAAGAGACTGGGTGGATACTTCTGGGTTTTGGAGAAAATCAATCTCTTCCTACTAATTGTAGACTTTTCTCTATTTATTTAAATTACCAGAATTACTGTGTTCAGTCTGGACCCCTTTAATTTGTTCATAATTGGGCTTGTGTGGGTGTTGAGTTGGAAGCTCTCAGGAGCTGAATAACACAGCTGCCTCTTTGGCCTTTGGCATAGGGTTTTCCCC